TGTGCACTTTACAGCTGTGTAGCCCTTTCCCCCAGATAATATCTGTATCCGGGGGATATTTTGTGGGGAAAGCTTGCCTCCTTTATGCCCCACCTTTACACCCTCCTTTTGGTCCTTATAACCAGCTGCCAATATGCATTATAGGGTTTAGAAAAATTGTTCTTCAAGCATCCCAACAAAACTCCATTGATATACCTCTCATTTCCTTGAAAAACCCTAAGTCCTTAAGCACCATTTCTTCTATACCACCAAGCTCTACCACCACCACCTCATTTCCAGCAACAAGGAAGGTTTCTCAAAGGCAAAAGGAGCTGCAAATTGGTCCAAGAAGCAACCAAAGCCTTAGTCTTCAAGGGTAAGTAGCACTTCTTCCCTTTTGACCCTTTTTCTTGATCCATTTGTAAGCCTCACTTGATTTTTGTTTCAAGCTCCGGCCCTAACTGAAAGTGGCCCTCTTTTGAGCTCATTTTCACTTTTCATTAAGGGCTCAACCCTGTTTGAGCCCTCCATGATGCACTTGCTTCATTGATCCTCTTATATGTCATAATCTTGCATGCTATTTTTGGCCCATGAGTAATCTGTTTTTTGAGCATGTTGTAAACTGATATTAGGCTTATTTCGAGCTCCTCTTCAACATTGAAGAAGGGCTCAACACCATTTGGGACTTCCATGTTGTACTTACCTTTATACTCCCCATTTGGTCCCATTTTTGCATAAATCGGCAGCCCCCTTTGCTTCGTTTTTTGGACCTTGGTCCGAACTGAAAGTGGCCTTATTTTGGCCTATACTTCATGTTTCATTAACACTTTTTTTCTGTTTGGTGAATATTTTGTATACTTCATGTTATAGCACCTTTTGAGCCTCAATCTTGTGCTCATTTTTTAGCATGTTTGTATACTGATTTGAGGTCTGCCATGTACTGTAAATATTCATATTTTTGGTCCCTCTTCAGTGTTGTAGAAGGAAATTTTTCAGTTTGGGCTTTGCTTATATCACTTGCTTCATTACCCCCCTTTTGGCCCCTATTCTTGCATGCCATTTTTGCCATACCTATGCTTGCTGTTTGGCCATGTTTATAACTGTGAAAGTGCATTTTTTGGGACTGTCTAGCTTCTGTCTTTGCATTGCATGTCCATATTGTGCATGTTTGGCATAGCTATAGGCCATTTCGGGTGCCTAAATTCGCATTTCGGGACAATTTCATGCATTTCGTGTCATTTCGCCTCATTTCGGGACTGTTTTCCCCCATATTTTAGTGCTGAAATTCCATTAGAATGTTTGCATATCATTTCCATGTCATTGCATTGCATTTGCCATCACCTCGGTTTGCGTGCCCGTGTGCACGCATTTTGAGGCACTTCATTTTTATCCGTCGGCATCCTATGTGAGTGCGGATGAGGCTCTCTCATGTTGGTATAAGCCCATATCACATTTTCATGTCATTTGCATTGTATATGCCAATGCCTCGGTTTGGCGTGCGCCGTGGTGGCACGGCCATTTCGAGGCAACTCCATTGTTTATCCGCGCGGCATCCTATGTGAGTGTGGCTGAGGCTCACTCATGTTGGTATAAGCCCATATCACATTTTCATGTCATTTGCATTGCATTTGCCATCACCTCGGTTTGCGTGCCCGTGTGTACGCATTTTGAGGCACTTCATTTTTATCCGTCGGTATCCTATGTGAGTGTGGCTGAGGCTCACTCATGTTGGTATAAGCCCATATCACATTTTCATGTCATTTGCATTGCATTTGCCATCGCCTCGGTTTGCGTGCCCGTGTGCACGCATTTCGAGGCACTTCATTTTTATCCGTCGGTATCCTATGTGAGTGTGGCTGAGGCTCACTCATGTTGGTATAAGCCCATATCACATTTTCATGTCATTTGCATTGCATTTGCCATCGCCTCGGTTTGCGTGCCCGTGTGCACGCATTTTGAGGCACTTCATTTTTATCCGTCGGTATCCTATGTGAGTGTGGCTGAGGCTCTCTCATGTTGGTGTAAGCCCATATCATATTTTCATGTCATTGGCATCTCATTTTCATAGCATAGTGCATACTAGGTTGCATCTTAGATTGCATTCTGTCATTTTCTCGGTTTGCGTGCCCGTGTGCATGCACTTCGAGGCATCTCATTTTCATAGCATAGTGCATAGTAGGTTGCATCTTGGATTACATTCTGTCATTTTCTCGGTTTGCGTGCCCATGTGCACGCACTTCGAGGCATCTCATTTTCATAGCATAGTGCATACTAGGTTGCATCTTAGATTGCATTCTGTCATTTTCACAGTTTGCGTGCCCGTGTGCACGCACTTCGAGGCATCTCATTTTCATAGCATAGTGCATACTGGGTTGCATCTTAGATTGCATTCTGTCATTTTCTCGGTTTGCGTGCCCGTGTGCACGCACTTCGAGGCATCTCATTTTCATAGCATAGTGCATACTGGGTTGTATCTCTGATTGCATTCTGTCATTTTCTCGGTTTGCGTGCCCGTGTGCACGCACTTCGAGGCATCTCACTTTCATAACATGGTGTATGTTAGGATTGTATCTTAGTCGCATTTCATGCATATCATGCATATTGCATCATGTCCGGAATAGGAGTTAGCCCGGGCACGGGAAGCGAGGTACATTTCGTACTCCGAGTGACGGAATGTGTCTCAATTCCCCAGTCACCAATACTCCGGATTATCCATGATGGAGTTAGGTTTTAGCTGTAGTTTCATGTGCATTCATCCTATATTGAGTTGTGCATTTCGACTCCTCAGCCATCATGCCTCGAGATGCGTGATTGGTGGCACAAGGATCGAGGCATGCTTACATATGTGAAAATACATTGCTATGCCCCTTTTCTGCTCTCTGTTGCAGCAAATCAAGAATTAGCAACCTTCTGGAGCTTGGCGTGCTTCCCAAGAATAAATATAAAACAGAGGCTAATTGGGGCATCCCAGTGGATTTCCGCGTAAGGCAGCCCAAACATACATCATTCATCAGAGTCAAGGCAGTCCCTGGCTTGCATGCCAGTTTCGTGGCATCTGGCAAAAAAAGTGGATCCTTTGAATGCAAGAGGCTGGTTTTGGCAGACTCTTGCGCTTGGGGTTCTTTCATTGCGTTTCCTGTTGAAGAGAGCCAGGAAGTAAGTTGGAGCATCTATTGTTGATATAATCTTTTTAGCAGCTGTATTTACTACTGTATAAGGGCAGTTCCTTCATAGGCAGTAAAATAGGACACAGCTAGGGGTTTAGATTTTTTTGGTAGTGTTGAAAAATGTGATCAGAGATCCTCTTTTTATTTCTATGAACAACCACTGTGTCTCTATCAAAGGAGATTTGATTTGATTTGATTTGATCTGCGGGAGTATCTAAAGCCCGAAGTCAATCCGCCTAGTTTGAACTTTGATTGCTGAGAAAACAGGTATGTAAAAAGAGTAGATCTACCTCTGCTAATTTGCCCTGACCCAGATCAACTCTTCGACCTCAAGCCCAGGGCTAGTAAGCTGAGAAACCATGCTGTTTGCCTGGGTGTTAACAAGATGAGATTAATGAGCTGGAATTTGAGTTTGAGCAAGCACACCTGAGAGGCTCAAAATGCATCCTTTAATAATAATAATAATAATAATAATAATAATAATAAATTATTGGACATTCCACCTTTCATAATTTTGTTTAGAGTAATGCTCTATAGAAACAAATTTTGTGTTAAAAAATTCATACAAATGATGTATCTTATTTGTATCTTGTTTTTTGAGGAATCTCATTTATATCTATTTATGGGGAGTTGACATATCCATCATTTAAGTATAAGAATCTTATTATCACATCATTCTTTTCTTAAATTTTGTGAGAAAATTTTGTTTGAATATCACTCCTCTTTAATATCATTTTATCCTCTTTAAGTTAAATTATTAAAAAGGACAAAAAAATCCTCCCTAATTCTGGCCAGTCCCTACCTAGATCTTCCTGTCATGGCCCCACGCTTTCCCATTGTTCGGCATCAACCAGACACCTCCCCAACTTACCACCACCCTATCCCCTTCTCCCAACCAATCGCACTCACCTCCCCTATTGCAAATCGACTTATCCCTCCTTTCTGTGTAATTCTATCTCTCCCCCTCAAGGCTCTCTAATGGCAACAGTGGGGGTTAGGATTCAAGTCTGAGAGGGAGAAGGTGGCGTTGGTAGGCCGGATATGTGGAGGGTGTGTAAAGGTAAGGTGAACTAATTTTGGGTGCATCAAACAAAAATCAACAAAATTTAAATTTGAGTGTCGAAAGATATAGGATATCCAACAATTTTTTCGTGATGCATTTAGATACTTCCATTAAATATTACCTCTGACAAACTGTGCCACCCAAAACAACTGGGAAAGCAAGACAAAGGCATTGAAATTGTCACAAGTTCTGCAACAAATCTTGGATGAAGAAACTGCAATTTACTAGTACGACAGTATTACCTAAGCAAAAACTACCTGGAGAAATGGGCTAGAATCATTAAGGAAACCTAAAACTTGATCACTGGAGAAACAAAACAAAGGAGACAGTTTGGTACCATTTAAATCTAATGGACAACAACAGAGACTCTACTGTTCTCAACAAAAAATAAATTAAAAAGAAAAAAAAAAAGAGACTACAACAGCCAAAACACCGACATACTACAATCACCATGAGCTGTTCTATAGAACCTTACTAACACAACTAATTAATAACTTATCAACACAATTGGAGAAGGGCACCAACTGTCAGTACAAGGTTGGCTACTCCTAACAAGACCAAGGTCACACTGCAAAGTCAAGTCACCAGTTGTCTTTATTCTGCACCACTAAAATTACATAACGCGCGCACTTATTACAAACGGGGTCTCTCAAAGGGTGAACGAAAGCCAAGCTCCACAGAAAGATCACCTCCATGGCATGGTCAACATGCCTCGGGGGTTACTGTTGTTGTAAGCTCCTGTGCTGTGGTTGAGTGGGCTCCCAGGTCCACCAGATGACTCACTGAGCGGCCCATGCGATGGCGGGCTGGTAGCACTTGTTGCACCACCACCACCAACTGGGGAGAGCTTTGATGGGGCTGACAACTGTTCCATTTGATTTACTGCCTTTGATTCCTTGCCACCATCAGCGATGAAACTGCCCATAATCAACTACAATGGAGGAAACCCATTATTATAGTTGTCATTATATAGACACACCTGTGTGTTAAAATGGAACTTTGGTTGAGAAATGTCTAGTGGGTGGTTAAAACCTTTTTTTTCCAATATTGATCAATAAAAATCCTTTTTTCTTTATTAATGAAAATACAAGATCTATATGTAATCAGCAAATCTGAAAGATCATGGAAATTATTTAAAAGGTGGAGCTAGCTTAAACTATCAATGACGAATGTTAGGTTTTATTTTTTGGCAATCCCGTTTGACAAAACTCCTTTGAGTTGTAATTTTATTCGCACTTTTTATTTCAGTGAGGCTATGAGTGTTTAGATGCGAATCCAACCCGAATTGTGCTTTTCAGAGAAGTTTGTGATGATAAAGCGTTCAAGATTGCCACTTCACTGATTATGACGGGGATCGAGCTGCCCGGTCAGCTCGCGGGGGTCCAGGGGGCAGCGCCCCTTGGCGGGTCCGGGGCAGCGCCCCCGAAGCAAAATGCAAAAATACATTCCAAGTTACCTGTCTGCTCGAGCGGACATACCCGCGCTCGAGCGGAGAATCCCTGGTTCCAGCAGTTTTGATCGCCTGCAAAAATACTGAGATGTGTGATTTCGCGCTTGAGCGGGCTTTCTGGCGCTCGAGCGGACCTCTGTCATATCACGCGCAGATTTTACTGAAGACGCTCGAGCGGGCTGTTGGGCGCTCGAGCGGAGATCGCGGGACAGATTCTATAAATTCGCGTGTTGGATCAGATTTTAGGATTACTACTCCAGATCTTCTTTTTGGTTTCTAGGGTTTATATCTGGGGATACTTTGGGAGTTTTTCTTTGATGTTTTTGAGAAGAGTTGTTCAACTCATGGTTTAAAAAGAGTACATCAAAGGTTGTGTTTTGTTCTACAAAAGAGAGAGTAGGACGAGATGGTGAGACTTAGAAGAATTCGAGCCTGAAGCTTTGGTGGAATCCGGAGTGGCTCATCAGAAAGACAATTCCGTGGTGAAGATGGGGTTGGAAGAGGCACATAAAGGTTGGTTCAATTAGGCGTTGTGGATTCTCTCTGCAGTCGCCTGTAAAAATACTGGAATGTGTGATTTTACGCTCGAGCGGATGCTCCTACGCTCAAGAAAAGACTAAAATTGTACCTTATGAGTTGTAGATGGACAAACCAAATCTAGGTTATTTGAGGGTGAGATTATTTAGCTTTTGTAAGGCTTGCAGATCCTAAACAACCTAAATCAAGTGAACGAGCTACCACTTGTGTTTTTCTTGGGTATGTGTTGCCTAGTACAGCTTATAGATTTTTTGATATGGGAAATAATATTATTTTTGAATCAGGTGATACTATTTTTCATGAAAATAAACTTCCTTTTAGATCTAAAAATAGTGAGGGTCAAATATTTTTTGAAAATATTTTATCCATGCCTAGCTATTCTACTCCATCTCAAGTTTTTCAAGAAGAAGAAAAACCTCAAATCCAACCAAGGAGGAGTAAAAGAGCTAGAGTGAAAAAGATTTTGGCCCTACCTATTATCTTTATAATATGGAAGAATTCCTCTTACGATACAAGAAGTTTTATCATCACCTGATGCTATTTTCTGGAGAGAGGCTGTAAATGATGAGATAGATTCACTATTTTTTTTAAAAACATAGAAGCTAGTTGATTTACCTTCGGGTTGTAAAACTATTGGGGTGTAAATGGGTACTCCATAGAAAATTTAAACCGGATGGAACAATAGATAAATATAAAGCGAGGTTTGTCGTTAAAAGTTTTAAGCAACAAGTTAATCTTGATTTCTTTGATACTTTTTCTCGGTTACTAAAATTACATCCATTAGACTACTAATAGAAGTAAATGCAATTCATGATTTAAAATTTCATCAAATGGATGTGAAAACAGAACTTTTAAATGGAGATCTAGATGAGGAGATTTACATGAACCCCTAGCCAAGAAAGCAATGTGTGTAAGCTAACTAAATCCCTTTATGGTTTAAACAAGCTCCTAAACTGTGGCATGAGAAAATTGATTTCTGCATGTTTGAGAATGGTTATAAAACTAACGAATCTGATAAGTGCATATATTATGAAACTTGTGAGAATGCACATATGATTATTAGCCTATATGTGGATGATCTACTTGTCTTTGGCTTTAATTTGCATATTATAAATGAGAGTAAAAATATGCTTAATAGCCATTGGTCTTTGGAACAAAGGATCAAAGACTTTGGAGGATATCATTGGGTCTCAACAAATGAGTTGTGACAAGAGTGGCATTGGCTTTGGTGGTAAGAAGGAGCAAAAACAGAGTGCTTCAACATCTCATGATGCAAGAACTCAAGGAAAGGGGGAACAAAAATTTCAACATAAGGATGGACTTCTCAAACTTCCTAGAGTTGGTAAGGTAAAAGAAAAGAAGGTATACCCTGTTTTTACTTGTCATCATTGTGGTTTGCATGGTCATATTCGCCCTTTTTGTTATAAGTTGCATGGGACAGTGTTTTTGCCTAGACCTAGGAATAGGAAGTTGGAAACCATGTCGAGACGGGTTCCCATTGCAGGGGAAAGGAACCACAACGTCAAGACACCACCCAAGAACTGCAATTCTCACAACTTTGTTCGTACTAAAGCAGTTTGGGTGAGAAAACTTGACTTGTGTTAATTTGTTTTTTTTTGTTTTAGCTTTTGGGTTTTTGTGTGTTGTTTTTAATTTATTTAAAAAAAAAAGAAGAAAATAATCCTAAAAAAAATTTTCTTAGTATGGTTTTGCAAGCTTGAAAGTTTTGAGTGGTCCTTGGTGCAGACTGGAATTAATGAGAATATCCATTACATGTTAATATGTGTGTGCTTTCTGTGGTCGTTGCTCGTTATGGAGTGTGTGTTTTTTGATTAGTATGTCTCATTCTGTACACACTCTTGGATTAGCAAATTTTGGAGTCTTCTGCCTTAGTGATTATTTTTTATGGACTTCTGGCATTGTATCTTTTGCTTTTCTAGAGGAATTGACCTATACTAGCATATCATGGGTGATGTTGAGTCTCTTAACCACCTACCATCCTTTTGCATCTCCATGGCTTTCCCCTTAATTCTTTGCAGTCTAGCCATGAGGAAAAGGCTACCTCAGAGTCACCAACCAGGCCATCCTTATTATATCCATGCTTCTCTGGTTCGGTTTCCATACTCTTGAGCGTGTCAGCCGCCAATGATTGTGCAAAAGAAAAAGAAAAAAAAAGAAAAAGAAAAAGAAAAAGGAAAAATATGCACAAGAAAGAAAAGAAAAAATGTGAAAAAGAAAGAAAAGAAAAAGTGTGTGAAAAAAAAAAGGAAAAAGATTTATTGATTGAGGGGGAGCCTCCGCCTTTACTCACCAAATACCCCTTGATTCCTAGTGGTTTGACTTTCCTTTGTAGTGCTTAGATTCTCTTGTCGGAGGTCCAGCTTTCCTATCACTACTAGGATTGAATCTAGTGTTTGTCGAACTCCAAGAGTCACACACACACTTTTATCATGGGATCTATGCTTTTCACATAATGCATCACTTTCTTTCATGAGGAATTTTCTACAGACTGTGCACATTGTGTTTTCTTGTAATGGTTCTTCTTGGATAATCTTATGTGTTTTAAGGTACTAATCTGAAATTCCTTGCTTACTCCACCATATTATTTTTTATCGTTTTCTTTTTGTTCACTGTTTTTAGTGTTTGTGGTTGCTTTTAGTGAGGGGGAGTTTGGTTTCTCATTGCAAGAGTTGTTTAGCATGAACACTTTGTTATGTTTGGTAAGGGAGATTGGCTATATGTTTTGCATATTGCTATGCACTATTTTCTCTTCTTGTATGTTCCTGGTATTTACATCGTCATATCATTGCTGGTGTGGTTTATGATCTTGCTTTTGTTGTTTGAGAGTTGTTTTTCATGAGTCTTAGTTTTCATCTATTCATGTTTTCCATCTCATGTTACAAGTTAATCATGTCATATGTCCATTGCTTTTTCATATACTCTTGTGGGACTAATAGTTTGTTTTGGAGATTGTGGCACTAATAACTGTTTTGCAGATCATGACCTTGAGAAAGAAGTTGGCTTTTGTTGGCTGTAATGGGTTGGGGTGTTTAGGATTTTATTTGTTAGATGTGTTTTGTCACGGCATTGCCAAAGGGGGAGGTTGTTAGGTTTTATTTTTTGGCAATCCCGTTTGACAAAACTCCTTTGAGTTGTAATTTTATTCGCACTTTTTATTTCAGTGAGGCTATGAGTGTTTAGATGCGAATCCAACCCGAATTGTGCTTTTTAGAGAAGTTTGTGATGACAAAGCGTTCAAGATTGCCACTTCACTGATTATGACGGGAACGAGCTGCCCGGTCAGCTCGCGAGGGTCTAGGGGGCAGCGCCCCTTGGCGGGTCCGGGGCAGCGCCCCCGAAGCAAAATGCAAAAATACATTCCAAGTTACCTGTCCGCTCGAGCGGACATACCCGCGCTCGAGCGGAGAATCCCTGGTTCCAGCAGTTTTGATCGCCTGCAAAAATACTGAGATGTGTGATTTCGCGCTCGAGCGGGCTTTCTGGCACTCGAGCGAACCTCTGTCATATCACGCGCAGATTTTACTGAAGATGCTCGAGCAGGCTGTTGGGCGCTCGAGCGGAGATCGCGGGACAGATTCTATAAATTCGCGTGTTGGATCAGATTTTAGGATTACTACTCCAGATCTTCTTTTTGGTTTCTAGGGTTTATATCTGGGGATACTTTGTGCTTTTTTTTGATGTTTTATTGAGTATTCAACTCATGGTTTAAAAGAGAGTACATCAAAGGTTTTTGTTTGCTATACAAAAGAGAGAGTTGTTCTTCGGTGGATTCTGAAGAATTCGAGCCTGAAGCTTTGGTGGATTCCGGGGTGGCTCATCATAAAGACAATTATGAGGTGAAGATGGGGTTGGAAGAGGCACATAGAGGTTGGTTCAATTAGGCGATGTGGATTCGCTAGGTAATTGAGAGTATACCTGTGTAATTCCTTTAAATCTTCTTAGTGGATTGTTCTTGTGGCAGTTGCCCGTGGTTTTTGATCACAGTTGGAGGTGTCCAACTGTGGTTTTTTCCACGTAAAATCATTGTGTCTCTTTGTCTTGATTGTTTGATTGGGATTGTTATATTCTGCTTAAAATTGATACATAATCACAAATCAACATCTAGGGGATTTCTAGATTTTTCAACGAAGATAGTCAACAGGCAAATATATAATACAATAAATTACGAGGAAAATAAAACAAAAAATAAAAATCAGTTGTCATGCTGCAAAAGCAGAACAAATGGATGGGTGTGCTTTGTATGAATGGACTTCTCAAAACAAATAATAGGGTAGCATAGACAGAAATGTGGTATACTGATGACACAAAATGAAACCTTGATATGACAAATTCTCAAAAAAATAGTATTGAGGAAATTATCAATGGTAAAACTATAAACATGCAGATATATGTATGTAATGCACTCGTATGTAAATCAAAAAACAATATTTTTTTTCCAGAATATTGATATGAAAACTATCGTTCTTTATTGGGTAAAGTGTAAGGTTGTCTATGAGTCAGGTAGCTGGACCTCCCCTGCCATTAAATATCTATTGTTGAAGTTAATGGATGAGGGACAAGATGATGATCCATTTACATTACAAGTAATTTTATTGTGGACGTCGATTTCCCTTTTTGTAATCAATTTTCTTACAACACCCAAGGATGGGAACCTACCGGTTTAGGTAAATATCTAATGCGTTCCCCCAACTTGAAACAAAAAATAATCGACAATTAAATCAGCTTATCTGTGAAACATGGGGTACACTGGATTAGAATAGAGGTATACCATTAACTTCATATGATTTTGAACTTTGAATGCAATGATGAAACAAGGGGCATGAATACATGAGTATAGGGTCTATTTCGTATCACTCTCATTTTGATGTTTCTGTTTCCATTTTTAATTTTTATTTGCATTTTTTATTTTCCAAAAACATAAATAATGAAAATTTGAAAAAACACCAATTTTCATTTTTGTGTATAAATAACTTTAAAAAATTCAAAAAACAAGTTAGAAGTGTTTCTTAGAAATGGGATGTTCTAAAATATAGAAGAAAAAAAAATACGAACACAGTTGTCACAAATAGTTTGCCAAACAAGTTTTCCATGTCATTTTCCATTTCTTCTGTAATCTAGAATAGAAAACAGTATTCAAAAATGATACCAAATGCACCCTTAGTATCCGATATGAATGCAACACCGCAATAGAAGCATTTATGCTTCATAGGCAACCTTGGATACAAAAAAATGTTGTTGCAACTGCACAATATCATCTCATCAAACAATGGCCAGCTGCCAGGGAATGAGTATACCTGTGAGTGTGTTGCATCATTTTGAAGCATAGCGAGCTTTTTTTCATCAAAAGGGCTAGCTGGTCCAGCTCTAAACTAAAGGGAAAGATGTTTTCGAAAATGGTAATAGTGGTTTTTTGCAGCAGTGATATAAAATATCCAGTGCAAGAGGAACCACTGAATTCTTGGAAACAACTCCAAAAGGACAGCCTAATTTTAACTCAAACTTCCTGGATTTGTAATAGCGAGAGATTCATGCCATGCTTCACATTTGACTATGAATTGGAATTTCTAATTGTTCCAACTTAGCAAGGCTGTTTAGGAGTTTGCCAAACTATTGAAAGGGAAAAAGAGTTTTTCATGCCACAGTTAGGACAATGAAGTAACAATACTGACTCTTTACTTTCTCAAATTTGATTCTATAAAGTACGTACCAGAGTAAGACCAAGGATTGGGCCAGTAGATGAGGTGCTCGCTTGCCAGCGGTGATGTTTGGGTTCGAGTCTTACCTGTTGCATGATGCAACTTCCCCTTCCCTCTTCCCTCTCCTACTGATTGTTAAAAAAAATTAAAAAAATTAAAAGAGGTATGTACTAGAGTGGATCATTGTCAAAGAACAATAATGAACTAAGGCAAGTGTCTAGATCACATCCACTAGAAATTTATGTTTTGTTTAAGTATGGACACAAATTGTCGGAGCACGAAGCCTAGTGAGACTGCAACGAATTAAGCAGGGTGTAAAGTTGCAAGCTTTCACCAGAAAACCTTTCAGTCACTCGCTCACCTGACTGCAAAACACGGACTTTGTGTTGAGGGTTATACTGCCTCGGGCACCGATTACCACTGTAAAGATTGTTTCTCATATATATTTCCCCAATTATACCAATCAGAAAAAGGGAAAGGAGAGAGAGAGAGAGAGAGAGAGAGAGAGAGAGAAAAGTTAAGCTAGAAAAAGTAAAGATTGTTCTATATCTTGGCCACCCCCAACACCAGTACTGATCTATTTATCAATTTCACAAGATGATAAATTTTAAAATCGAGTGCGCAGTTTTACAAAACATACAAAAGATTTGCTAGAGAACCAGACAAACCTGAACAGGGGTTGCAGCAGTAAGAAGTCCTGCAACACAGCCACCTAAAACACGTCCATCTGGTCCAGCTAATGTGACACTCAATCCACCAGTTCTGCTCCGCTGACCCACCAACCTCTGTCAGCAGAAATGAACCACACAGTGACAGAATATCGAATCGCCCCTGCATCATTAAATACAACCAACCATTTGGTAAAATAGTATTAACTATCGAAATATACACATATATTGATTACCAACCAAGCAGAAAACGTGTCAAGAATCATCATAATGATAACAAATGGATTGTGGCACCTGTATGTCACACCAAGTGTCAAATAGCCACATGAAGAAATCACTTCCAAAACTAACTGAATCATATGGTAGATTCAAAATTTCATAAATTCACCGTATTTTCCTTCAGTACATACTTGGAATTCAGGACTCGTGATATTTAATACAAACTCGTAATTATTTCTGAAGAGTGAACAAGTTTGTATTCCATTGCAACATCATTGTAAAGCAAGGTTAGACAAACCTCATATGTTGCAGTTCTACCAGATGTTGCCACTTGGTGAAGTGGCACATTGAACATGCCACCATTTGCAGAAAGGATGCAAACAGCCCTTGGACCATTATGAGAGAATGACATTATCTTTGATGACACATCCTGAAAATAAAAATAACTCAAAAAATTAGAATAATACCAATATAAAGGAATAGGATAATACAAATTAGTATGGAATTCTGGTAGGTGCACCAGGACTAGGCAATACTTGAAATCATCATCCCGCCTATTATTTCATTTTTTAGCATCTACTACAACATATAACAAGCATTGGCTGCAAGTTTGGTGTCGACATTTATGCCGACAATACATGCCAAATTTAACAAATTACCAAAAGCTTCCTTTAGTCACTTCAAATAATTAGTAATAAAGAATTTACCAAATCAGAACATTAGGTGGTACTCAACAAATGTTATCTTGGAAGCAACTTCCCCCTTCCCTCAATCTAAGCTTGTGGTTCTTTCTATGGCTATGGTGAGCACAAAAAATGGCATGAGTATAACTCTTATATATAAAATGCCCACCAAAGACGTAGATGAACTAAAAATGGAAAAAAAATTAGATTACCTGCGGACCATTAATCAGGCAATAATAAAAGGGAGCCGCTATTCCCACTCCACTTTGCCCCAAATACACTTCCTTCTTTGTCCTTATTATGCATACTTACTATTCTCACGCCACTTTGCTCCAAATACACTCACTTCTATGTATTATAAGGATAAAGGAGGGAGCGTATTTGGAGCAAAGTAGAGTGAAAATAGCGACTCCCTAATAAAATGCCCACAAAGAGATATCTACAAGCCTACAAGAACATATTATTTCAAAACAAGTGTTGTAGTGATGTCGAATGACAAGGGGCCACGGGACAAGGCAGAGGCAACACAACATGGGGGGGACGGGCGGGGAAGGACATGTATGTGATGCACCAGTTGGCATATCCTTCTATTTTATTAATTTATTTTTTGGGGACATGGCAACTTGTTTTTTTTTTTTTTCCCCTCCCTCTTCTTTAGTGCTTTTAACTCCGCCAGGGTTGTTAACAACTCCGCCGGTCCCAAGCCGGGTTAAGGAGGAGAGTTGTGTGTTAGGTAGCCTACAGCCAACACGTAAAAAAGCCGCTCGAATCTCTTATGACAATAGCCCGATTGGTGGGATTGAGATTTATAATTATTTTTTGAACCAGGCTTGAACAAATATATAGAGACCCGATGTTAGGGCCGAACCGGGCCTAGCTTGGGTAAACACAAAATCCCTTATTATATAATGTCAGCTCAGCCCGACGTTTGTCCATGCCTAATATCGGGTACACAACATGCGTACAAGTGTGGCTTAGACAGACAGGGTTAGTACGCCATGGATACATTTCAGGTACAATTATGGGTACATTTCGGGTACAATTATGGGTACATTGCGGACATAAATGTAATTTTTTAAAAATAGAGGGGTATGTTGTGCGTATTTTTATAAACTTAAAAATTACTTTAATTATTTTGTGCATTTGATTTTTAAATTGTTATATATCATGTACTATTATAAATAACAAAATTTTTTTTCTTATCACGTAACTAATTGTACATTTGTCTTATTTTTTTTTAGATTTTTCCGTATAGGCATACCCATAACGAACCATTAGCCATGCTTCCTAGACTACTAACTGAGGCTTCAACTATGAAGCACTGGCATGGGTACAAGTACTGATACCTGTACGATATGATAATAATAATAATAATAATAATAATAATAATAATAATAATAATAATAATAATAATAATAATAATAATAATAATAATAATAATAATAATAATAATAATAATAATAATAATAATAATAATAATAATAATAATAATAATAATAATAATAATAATAATAATAATAATAATAATAATAATAATAATAATAATAATAATAATAATAATAATAATAATAATAATAATAATAATAATAATAATAATAATAATAATAATAATAATAATAAAAATAATAATAATAATAATAATAATAATAATAATAATAATAATAATAATAATAATAATAATAATAATAATAATAATAATAATAATAATAATAATAAGGAGAGGGCTGCTGACCTGTGTGCTGACCTCACTGACACGTGTAACGATTCATCCGTTTCTACCACGCGCTGGTACAGGCGTGGACTTTTTAAAGCCCTGTTTGTTTGGATTTTTTTTTAATTTAAAATTAAGTTAATTGCTTCTATATTATTCGTTACAATTATGTTTGAAACATGACTTATACCATTGGACTCATAATTATTTTTTTTACAAGATTATAAAGTTTTAGAATTTTATGAAAAATAAAATATTTTTTTCATTAATGAATAATTCAATTTTTTATGTTAAATTGCTCTTGGTGGAGCATGACTTAGATTCTGGACTTGAATTTTTTACAATAGACTAATGCTATGTAATTTTGTTTACTGGTATAATTTTTGTATTTTTCAGATTCTGTAATATTTATTTTTGATTTTCTGTGTAATTATTAATTACTTATAATTCTAGAAAATTTCAAAAAATTACAAAAATCATAGAAATATGCTATGGCATTATGTACATATTGTATACAACATGTTAAGATCTTTTAAATGATTAGAACTTGTAGTATATTGTTATTTTAAATAACATGATTTATTTATATCGATGAATTTTAATTCCATGATTAAGTATTCTAACATGTTTTATTTTATGAATTACATTAAGATGTTATCATGTGGAATTAATGTTTTATCATGCTTTAGGCATGCCATGTGGAATGATCACTGTCAGTTTAAAAGGTAGTTCTATTACAATATACTTATTTTCCTTTGACCTGAGAGGCTTGTATAAATTAATTAACTATTCATTTAACTTTGACATTGTCAATCGGTGATGTCAAACCAAAGGCTATACACGGACATGTTGGGTTATGTGAGTGGTAATTGATTAGGTAGCCTACAGCCAACATGTAAAAAAGCCGCTCGAATCTCTTATGACAATATCCCGATTGGTGGGATTGAGATTTATAATTATTTTTTGAACCAGGCTTGAACAAATATATAGAGACCCGATGTTAGGGCCGAACCGGGCCTAGCTTGGGTAAACACAAAATCCCATATTATATTATAGCGATCCCGGATTTACCCTTGTTGTACAGTGGCCTAATATCGGGTACACAACAAGCGTACAAGTGTGGCTTAGACAGACAGGGTTAGTACGCCATGGGTACATTTCAGGTACAATTATGGGTACATTTCGGGTACAATTATGGGTACATTGCGGACATAAATGTAATTTTTTTAAAATAGAGGGGTATGTTGTGCGTATTTTTATAAACTTAAAAATTACTTTAATTATTTTATGCATTTGATTTTTAAATTGTTATATATCATGTACTATTATAAATAACAATTTTTTTTTCTTATCACGTAACTAATTGTACATTTATCTTATTTTTTTTTTAGATTTTTCCGTATAGGCATACCCATAACGAACCATTAGCCATGCTTCCTAGACTACTAACTGAGGCTTCAACTATGAAGTACTGGTATGGGTACAAGTACTGATACCTGTACGATATGGGTACGTCGATACGTTAAAATTTGGAAAAAAGTAAGGTATGGATACGATTTAGTACGTTTGTAAAAAAATATTTATTTTTAGTTTGGAGTAATGCAAAAATTGATTAAATGGTTTAATTTGTTAAGATCCAACATACAATTAACATTTAATGTCAAAAGTAAAGGTATAAACCAAAACTAAATATCATTATATTAAATAACTTACAAATCATAGCTTATTTTAAAATCATGCTAAGTATAAAATTAAAAATTAAAAAGAAATCTACTGAAAGAAATTTAATCTCTATAGTAAAATGAAATATTATTTTTACTAAGGTATGGTACGGTATGGTACGGTTTGGGTATATACTAGGTACGTTTGTGTCTTGGTTGTAAGAATCGTGCAACTAGGTGACGAATCTTCGTAAGAAATGTGATTCCGCGTTTCTTAGAAAGAAACATGTAAGAATTGTGTTTCTATAAAGAGAAATGCGATCCTGTCCAAGATGGAATCATTGGTGGAAATAAAACAACTCAGAAGCTATGAAGCACGAAAGAGAAAGAGAGAACAAAAGAGAAAGAGAGAAGACCTTATTGGTTTTCAGTGGTCGTTGCTCGTCGTCTCTCGTCACTGCTCTTCTTCTTCTTTAATCTTCTTCGATCTTCTTCTTCGATCTTGTAGAGAAGACTTACAGTTGTTATAATAGGAAACGTGCACCATGCTTGGACGCCGACCAATTCGCCGATCTCGTGTAGGCGATGGAAATGAAAGAGAAAGAGAGAGCTCCCTCTGTCTCTGTGTTTGTGTTTAGGGTTGTTGAAGAGTCCTTTATATATATAAAAAGCTAGGCAAAGCCCTAATGGGCCTTAATGGAGGGGAAGTACTGGCCCGTTTTGTATTTGGGTTTTGGATGAAACTTTGGGCCATGATGATTTATCATTTAACTTCATTGGCCCAAAAAAAATAAAATAAAAGGATAAAATGATGTTTTAGCCATTAATAAAATATCTAATTAAATCATATATAATAAAAAATCTAATAAAATCTATAAAATAAATCATTCAATTTTTATTTATTATTTATTTTAACATATTTTATTATTCGTTATTTGTTATATATTTTTTTATTTATAATATATATATCAATTAAAAATAAAAAATAAATTAAAAATATTATCAATAAAAATAATACCTAAGATAAAAATAATAAATACATTTAAAAATAACTATTTAACTCATCTTTATATAATAAATATATTTAAAAAATAATTACTAAAATATATATATATATATATATTACCGCTCCCTGAGGCGCTCCCTACCTAAAAAACTTCTATCGGCTCATGCTTCCTCGCTCCCGCTCCCGCTCCCGCTCCCGCGTAGGGAACTAACCTGCATTTGTCCATTAAGTGGCGTAACATATCAAGGAAATTT